TCATTTGTTAATCGTCAAGGTTTTCGGAGACTGTAGAAAATTGTTTCAACGTGATGCTCCTGATTCAAATGCTCGGTTGCATCATTCAACTATGCTTCCAAACTTTCCAAGCTATCATGGTACAAAGAAAATTATACTTTCCTCTAAATCTACGTTTATATCACAAAAAAGAAACTTCTTAAAATAATTCATCTTTTTTGATATAATTTTATTTATAGTCGTTCGAAGAGGAACTAGAGCAACACATGGTTTTTCAAACTGTATTCTTGTGTATTTATACAGTTAGCGTGATGGTGCAATTGCTCCTCTACTGTTACGTGGGCGAGAGACTTACGTTCGAGGTATTGTTTATGAAGGAAAAATTAATTAATCGCTGTTTTCTGATAAAAACTTGAATAATTTGAATATTAGAATTCAACATATATTGATGTCTGTAATTTCCCAGAGTACAGATATAGCTGACACAGCGTACAATTGCGAGTGGTACAGTTTACCTCCTAAGAACGCCAGATTGCTTGTAATTATTATGTGTCGTGCTGTCTCATCACCGTTGAAACTTACAGCAGGCAAATTTTGTTGGTTTACCATATTGCTATATTCTCAGGTAGGTGGTAATCAATTTTAACGAAAATCTTTCTTTCAATATTCGCTCATAAGTTGCAATGTAACTGTATGTTTGTAATATTAAAAATATATTAATATTTGAATAACAATGAATATTAAAATATCCAAAGTTCAAAATATTCGAATACTTTCGAATATTTTATTATTTTATTCGAAAGTACTCGCATGGAGACGATAGTAAAACCTTTATCTGTATGCTACATGCATTATTTAAGATATTTTGTAAATTCGTTAATACTGCAATGAAACGCGTGTGTCATGATTATGTTGGTCATATTTCAAATCATATGGCTAATTCAATATTTCTGCAATCTCTTACTTCTGTGTATATGCATTTGCATTAAATACTCAATAATTTATCTTTATATTTATTTCATATTTAACCGGTGTATATATAATCATGACAGTCGGTTCTCATTATGAAATTACGAAATATTTTTATACATGGCAAATATTTTTTTTTTTTATTATACATATATAATATATTCAGGAAATATACTCAGAATAATAGATTCATCTAATACAATCGTAAAATAAAAAACTGTACAGAATAATTTTTTTATATATTTTAGGTTGTGAAAACCTCAGTCTCGTATATTTCTGTATTGTATGCAACGAAAGGTTAGCAGAAAGGCGATTCTGTAGTTCCTTAAATTTTACAATAACTCATCGTTTCGATGCAGCAAAATACAACGAAAGGAAGAAATTAATATTATTTTCTCTATGATAAATTATGTTCCTGAGGAAATAAACGATAAGACGAGACGAAGGATCAAATGTTATGGAGAGTAGAAAATTATTCAAACGAGATTCCTCCAGAGAATATTTCCTGCAAAACCTCAATAGCATTATTTCTATTTTCTTTGCTTCCCAACTTCTTTCCGCTTCTTCGAGATTCCAAGTTCATTCATACCTCGCAATTACTTATGCCATGTCCATAACAAAGCTATTCACCAATAACAGTATGAACACTAATGAACTGCGATTAGCTTACAGCGAGCAACATTCAAGCGATACCTCAAAAAATCTCTTCGCAAACTCGAAGCATTTGTGGACGCATTAAAGGGCCTTACTTTGTAATGCCGCCACCACACTACTGTTGACACATAGTTGCATTCGAAACAGGTAGCTTTTGGTTGGTGTTAACCCAACATTACGAACTATCGATGAATATATATAAGTGTGATTCATACCAGCGGTAGTGGAACGATCGAATCGTGTCAAGTCAAATTCCAATTAACGTCGTTCACATGTGATGCAATGAAAGTATTTACGAAACTTGTTTGGTTAAGAATATATAAATCTGTTGATTGTAGACTCAGTTTGAAGCCTGATTCACACCAATGGCCAAAGGTATTGTTCTAGTAAAAAGAAAATTTATTTGTGAAATTATATTGAAATAAAGAACAAGTACAATGAACAAATGTCCCAAATGTCAAAGCCAAAAACATGAAAATTATTAAAAAATTTAATAATCTGGAAAAAAGATTGAGAATTGATAAATGAAATGCATAAATGAATGATAAATGAATTTGATGAAACAAGTGAAATCGAAATATAAAACTCACATTTTGTAGAAATTCCAGTACTCCCGGCGATTTCCCTTTTATTGATTTATTCACAACTTTATTTTCTTTTATTAATTTTTTCAGCCTTGTGATCACCATATGTCACTGAAAGAAAATAATGATAACAGTCTATGTTATGTTATACTTATAGTTAAACTACTGTTATATTACTTATAGTTATACTACTGTTATACTCATAGATACTCCTCTACATATATCTACAGACATTGAGGTTTCACAATATACAACAATATAGAAGTGTAAAAATATTGGATACGTCGCATTTATTTACTACTGATCTAAAATCTTAGGACATATATTATTTTATTATTCACTTATTCCTAGATAATAAAATTTTGAAAATGTATGTGCATCATATTAAAAAGAGAAATTAAATTTTTAATTACTATATATTTTGAAATAATATATTTTAATTCCAATGTCACAAATGCAAATAGCGTAAATAGCATTTAATTTATAAACTACATACCACTTTACGAATTTTACGCATTTTATGAATTACGTATGTTAAGTCTCATAAAATTTGTAAATATTACACTTATGACTTACAAACATAAAATACAAAAATATTCCTGTGGCAACACTAACATTCATCAGTAAAAATTGTACTTCCAATTATTAGTGAATTATTTTCCTCGTAGGATGAAATTTCTTTTACTTGCAAATTCTGATGTACACTCATGAAGGAACACCAACATAGATTAGATGTAGAAAACACGCCCCGTTATTTCTGCATCGGCCAAGATCATAAATAATTACATACGAATAATTACAAACTTTTAGCAACCAAACTTTACTACAATAGTCATCCGAAGTATGCAATTAAGAACGACATCGGACTACCTCACGAATAATTAATGACATGTGCGCATTCTGAATATACAATAAGGGCATGCGCTGAGAGGAACATGGAGGTAACTTTTGAATATGAGAACAGTCACGGAAAAACTGGCCATCATGGACATCCAGCGAGGTAATTTTACATATTAAATAATAAATATTCATGAAAAAATACCCATATTTGCAAAAGTATTTGATTCATCATAATTGTTAGAAATAAATGAGCAAATAAATAAAAAGTGCAAAAAGGAATTAGATTTTTAAACAACAAATGTACAAAAAGTGATGCCGTATATTTTATTGGGTTAATCCCAAAAATATTGCGATTGTTGGTTTTTCTACACTAGATGAAGATAAAAATTAGATGCTTGAAATTCATTACAGACAAATTTTCATATACAAATTCTTCATGTTCTTCTGCTAAACTGTTTTATTACTATTTCATAAAATTCTCATAAAAGAGTTTCTGTTATTTCAAGCAAATTTTGTTATTAAAACCACATTTCTTGTAAGATAACCAGTTTCTTTCTCTAACTCAAAATCCAAGTATTTAGTATCACACGATCACAGATGACTTTTATACTATATAATTATACTATATAATTTTCATTATATTGCACAAAATTTCAGACATTTAATCCTGTTTCGTATTTTATATCTTCTTTGACAGAGATTAATAGTAAAACGAAATCGATATGAAAGTTACAAAGTTTAGATTGACTG